TTGCTCATAAATTTCATGTAGTAAATTTGATGATTTGTGCTAAAATGCTAAAATTGGATATATTTATACTATTATGTTTTTGTGCTTGAATACATGTATGTGAACTTCATTGTGCATATTACACTTGATTACATGCATTCAAAATACTCTTGATATTATTGGTATCAAGCACTTTGTCCCATGCCTTGAATTGATTTATCTTTCTTTTGAAATGACAAAAATGGGGAGAGAGTTTAGAGATATCTCTTCTTGTTTGCTTATAGCAATTGATATAAGAGCTTAAACATTTGGTATAAAGAGCATAAACAAAAAGGAAAAATGTTTTATGAATATATTTGTTAATGATGCCTTTTTGTGTTTATTTACTCATTAATTTGCTCATGCCTTTTTGTTATGACAAAAAGGGAGAGAAATATCATATAGACAATTTTGCTCGTGCTTGACATGCATATGTTTGATTATGCTTATTTCATATATTTGATTAGCATATGTTTGTTAAGTTATGTTGGATTATGATACATAAATTAAGGGAGAGTTTTTCCATTGGATTAGGATGCACAAATTGAAGGGAAGTTTTGCCATGCATTGTTTAAGGGGGAGTTTTCCAAAATGTCTTTCAAAATCTTAAATGTTTCAAAGAAAGTTTTTCATCAAGCAATTTATCTTTAAGTTTTGTCATATCAAAAAGGGGGAGATTGTTAGCCTTGAATTGATTCTTATTTTGAAATTACAAAACATTAAAGCTAAATAAACTTGATCAAGATTTTGAAAAAAAGATTTATTTAGTACATGTTCTTAAGTTTTATATTTTGGTACCAAATAAATAATATGATTTTCAAAGCTTAAACAAACCTTTCTTTGTTTTCATATTTCTCAAACCAAATCTATCTTTAAATATTATTTATTTGAGCTTAAATGAAAGTTCAATTGTTGTTTTTAAAGTGAACTTATTCATTTTGGACTTAATACAATTTGGATAATATTAGTTTTGAGAAATAGATTAATTTAAGAAAGTTGTTTTACAAGAATAAAGTTTTCCAACATCGAACTTGTTTTATTTTTTTGTATTAATTCACAAAGTCTTAATATTTGAATTTTATATGGTTTGAAAGCTCTTTGAGTCTACTTTCTAATGGATTAAACAAAATCAAAATTTAAATTTTCTAAGAAAAGATTTTGAATTTTTACTAGATACTCTGCAGTTGTCAAAAAAATTACACAATGCATAACTTTGAAAATTCACTATAATTTGTACACAGTGAATTAGGTTATGAACTTTATATGGATAGAAAGCCCTTTAAGTCTAGTTTCTAAATCTTCAAACGATTTGTGATTTGGATTTGTATAACTTAAGTTATGATCAAATTAATAAGTAGAGAGAAAAAGGCAAAACTACCACCCAACATGGACATGATCAATCCCCTCTAGAAGGGATCAATTGTTTTTCAAATAGAATGCTCCCAGGATCGAAAATCCAAAAAAGGGATCGATCCCCTACAAAAGGGATCGATCGATTAGGCTATTTTCAAAGGAAAATTGGTTCAAAACATATACCAATCGATCCCCTAAGAGAAGGAATCGACCCGCTGAAGGCCAAAATCACTCCAACGACTATTTTATCAAGGATTCAATGGCTATTTTCACTTTCCAAATACTTTCAATGGCTACTTCTTCAATTTTTCTATAAATTGGGTACTCTAACACACTACGAAGATTGATGAATCAAGAGAGCAAGAACCAACAAGCAATATTTTCATTATCTCAAATAATCAAGAGTTTTTAGAGCTTTAAAGTCTATATCTTTACATTTATTGTATCCAAATTATTTTTGTTGTTCATTCATCATTTTTTTGTTTATACCATTGTATATTTCAAATTAACAAACACCAAACCTTTGAGAGGTTCTTAGAGTTTGCAAAATACTTAAAAAAATTTGTATTGTGTGCTTGTAAGCTTAAGGAGGAGGATAACCCCCAAGAGTGTATAATGTTGAGCTTGTAAAGTTTTGATAAGCTTGTTTGTAATCTTCAACACATAATGGATTAGAGCCTTGGTGTGGACAACCAAGAGAAAGGATGTAGGTGCCTTGTGAAGAAGGACCGAACCTCTATAAATTATTGTGTTTGATTTCTTTATCCATATCTCCTTATAATTTATTATTGTTCATATTTGATTTTAAGTTAATTAATTGTTGTTGTTTTCATTATATTTTCATCAAAATGGCTTATTGTCTTAATTTCCATTCCACTATATTGAAATCATTATTTGAGAAGAATTTGAAGAGATCCAATTCATCTCATCTTGGATCACCATCTAACCTATAAAGCTAGCAATTATCTTGGAGAATAATCTAATTCTTATAGAAAATAATAAAAATATTTTATTATCGTGGTGAAATGATATATAAAATTAACAATAATTAATTTTAATCATTTAATATGTGAATTAAAAATTTGTTGCATCTTAAAATTATAATTATTTTATATTATAAATTATTATATTCATTATAAAACGTTTAAAAATAATTTATGTATTTTTTTTGCTTTTTTAATATTTTATATAAATACAAATTTTTTTATTATGAATTTAATAGATTGATTTTATTTTTTAATTTAAATATTTTTTTACATAATTTATATTATAAAAATCAAATTGCCTATCGATAAATATATTTAATAATTTAATAATATAATAATATTTTATTATAAAATAAATAAATATTACTAATATCTTACAAATTATTATCTTTAAACAATCTTAAAATTATTAACTTGTGTAACTATTATAATATATATGATATTTTGTACTTTTAAATAAAATAAAATATTTATTTTTAATAATTCCAAATATGATGATTTTTAATTCTCAAAAACTAATAATTATTAATAAAATAAAGTGCTTTAAATCGCGAATATTAAAATCACTTTCGTAATAAGATTATTATGATGATTACATTTCGATGATGATTTTAGAAAAAAATACCAAATACTATCTAAAGGTCTGTTTGGATGGAGCATTCCAAGGTAGGATATAATCCCAATCAAGGTATTTTAAAAATAAAAAAAATAATTTACTTGTTTAGATAAAATGAGTGAGAATTTCAAATTTTAAATGAAATTTTAAGAAAGAATCTAGGGTGCTAAAATTTCCTCTTAAAAATCCATATAAAGAGATGATTTTTAAGAATTTCTTCAAAAATCTTCAATCTCTCTATTACACATGACTTATCATAAAATAAAAATCTAAAAAATAATCTATTATTTTATTTAATTCTAATATATATTTTTTATATTATTAATAGCATCTATATATTTTTATAAATCTATCGATACACATATTACATATTTTATTTATAATGTATATTCTTTATCTTTAATATCATTATGTTTTATAATTATTTTTTAATCTAATCAAATTTCAACAAGCTAGAATTTTTTCCAAAAATATTTATTCAAACAAAATAATTACAAATACTAACACTTTAAAATAATTTTTTTAAAAATATTTTCATGCATTCTCACAAAAAAAAAAATGAAAAACTGAAAGGTATGTGGGAGAGCACTCAATCAAAATTAGACCAGTCAATTTTAAATAAGTCATGACGATACAATATAAAAATGACACGAAAAGAAACTTTATATTTGTTTTTAAAAAATATGTTTTGTATTTGTTCGTGTTGACATGAATTTTAATATAACATAATTTATGTTTTATACATGTTGATACGTCTATATATGTATAAGACAAAAAAACATGCTTAAATAAAACATGTCACACATAAACACGTTTAACACGTGGCACGACGCGAAAATATATTTAGCATATTTTTTATATTTATTTTAATTTAATATAAATATCTAAAGATATTTTCAATTTTTAATTTTTTAATTATGATACCTAATTAGGTATTCAACATACCATATAAAGATTATTTTAAACATTTAATTATGATATTAATTTAATAATTATTATAAAATTATTTTTATATTAATAATATAAATACATATAAATAATAATATTAGTACAATACATCATTATTTTATTCTTTAATCTTTAGTAATTTATCATTCATGATTTGATACCAAAAATTAATAAATTATGTATATATTTATAATTGTTATATTAGCAATGTATATATTAAAATTTATATATATATATATATAGATGTTAAATGCATATTAAATGAGTATAAAATTTTTTATATTTTTTAAATATGCAAATATTTTTTATATTAGTAATGCATATGATATATATAAATTTTAACATATTAAATATATATTGTTTTTTGTAACTTTTTATAATAATATTAAAAAACAATTTTTTATTAAAAAAGAATTTAGAAAGACAAATATACATTTAATTGTTAATAACAAGTAACATCTAGCAATATGATCATTGATAAAGTAAAACAAATCCAAATAATATAAATATACAATAATATAAAATAAATCCAAATCATATAAATATACAATAATATATTATGATGATTATAAATAATATTTATATTGATAAGAAATTATATGAGCATCTTAATAACATAAATTATGATATGCAACTATTTTAAATTATAAGAGTTAAAATAAGAGATTATATATTTGAAATTAAAAATAATATATATTCTAAATAATATATATAATAATCAAAAAAATTAAATAATTTATTCTATATTACATAATATGATATTATAAAAATATAACTTATAAATTATTGTTATTTTTTAAAATACTTTGATGCTAGTAGGTTAGTATGTCTTGAATTAGATATGATATTTGATGATACATATTTACTATTTATTTATGTATATCAATACTATTCATATATATTAATGTTGTTTATGTTTATTTGTATATATTAATATTATTTATATTAATCGTATCATATCGGGTATAACACATATAATAAATATATTGCATTTAAAATTTAAACATGATTTATAATTTAAATTATTATATATTTAAATATGATATAAAAATACGAATCTAATAAAAACTAACGAGAAGTTAAACACCAGCAGGATGAAGCAAAACAAAAGGAGCAATTGCAACTTGCAAGGCAACGAAACGAACCTGAGGGACAAAATCGTAATATCTCGAAAACAGTATCAAATTCAAAGACGCAAGCGCTCCAATAAGACTTCAGAGCATCCCCACGCATTTCAAGATCATTTCAACAAATTGCTCGGCGGGATTCGATTCGCTGACTTCCCATATATGTCCATCCCTACCCTGTAATATATAATTACACTATTATCACTAATTTTTTATTTTATTTATTTCATTTCATTCATCAAACATAAAGCCTCTAGCTTTTCACTCTGTTTCAAGTACGAGCACCTTTGTTGGTGGCGAAATGGCGATCCGAAGAGCGATGTCAGGGCGGACGGCAGTCGTTGGAGCGCGATCCATGTCGTCGTGGTGGCGTAGCGTGGAGCCTGCTCCCAAGGATCCTATTCTTGGTGTTACCGAGGCTTTTTTGGCCGATCCCAATCCCGATAAAGTCAATGTTGGAGTCGTACGTTTCTTCTCCTTTCTTTCTTTCTTTCCTTCTCCTACGTTTTTGTTCTTTGACTCCTCTGTTTTTGGCTGCTCTCCTTTTGAACGACTTTACGAAAGCGACAATTTTCATTTTTGCTTTCTTAAAAATTTGTACTACTTCGTTTTGAGCTAATTATGTAAATCTCTTTTGTGTGGTTTTGTTTTCGGTAGTTTCTTAGCTACCAAACAGAGAAAATTAGTCGCCGTTTCTCTTTGCTACGTATGTACTTACTTTTTTACTTTGTCGAAAGTGGGTTAAAAAATTTAAAGGTAAATAAAACCAATGCAGTAAAATCACAAGTATCTGAGTTGATGTAAAGAAATAATATCTTTATTTGTGGTATAAATTTACTGCTATAACTTTTGGTTTTGTAGCGTATTTTTTCCCTTTTGAATAAACTGTGAATAGTAAAAAATGAGAATATTAACCAAATAATACTGGAAACTTATTTGTTTGTCTTTTTATTTCAATTTTCTTTTTGTTGTTTTAGGCACAGATAGCAGTTAAGTTGAATTCTATTTTTTGGGATTAAAGTATGAATGATACAATAGTAAATAGGAATTGAGCTTGAACAAACAGAATTCTCATTTTCTTTCTGAAAATGTAAAAGCAATAGAGTTGTTGATGTTCAGGATTTGTTTTCAGGGTGCTTACCGTGATGATAATGGAAAGCCGGTTGTTTTGGAATGTGTTAGGGAAGCCGAGCGAAGGATTGCTGGACATTTGAACATGTAAGACAGAGCCGGTTGTTTGAATGCTTTTCATTGTCACATTTTGCCTTGTTTTTTTACTACATATTCTATAGATAATTGCCTACATTTTCAATTAATTTTACTCATTATTAACGAGTCCAGTTGGAGTTTTATTCAATTTCATATTGATGGTTAGTAACTTTTTTCCGGTCCCATGCAATTGACCTTTTTATCTTCCACTTTCCATTTGATTCCTTCATGATGTGGTTATTCAATGGTTGAGATCGTGGTCGATAAGTCTTTCTAGAATATTCTTTTCTGGCCCTTCGCTAGTTGCTTCTTCTTCTTTTACATAAAAGGTAGTCATATTATTATTTGATACAATAACAATAATAAACTAAGTCTCATAGCTTATAATTCTGGGATTGATTGTATGAAAGATTAAAAAAAAAAGAAAATCATGTTAAATATTTGTTTTGAATTTTTTTATGCCACTTATTTTTATCAATAATAATCTTTTTATGTTTTTTCTTAACCATCATATCATTTCTTATCAGTTGTATCCATATTTTTCGTGATCTATCTCTATAAGTTATGATGCCTCCAAAAGTTGGATACTTATTTTTCCTAACGAGTGCACAAATAAATCAACGTTTTGTATGTCCAAACTATTTCAAACGATTCTCTCTCATCTTTTCTTCAATTTGGATTATTTCTAATTTTTCTCGAATTTTTATTTTAATTTTGTCTCTTCTAGTCTTACCACATATTTATCTAAGCATTCTCATTTTGACTACGATCATTTTGTTATTTTTAACAATCCAACACTTAGTTTCATATAACAAAGAAGGCCTTATAGTTGTTTTATATAATTTCACCTTTAACACAAAACATCTTACGCACTTCGCCATCTCACCCATCTTGCTTGATTCTTATGATTTGCATCCCTTTCTATCTCAGCATCGTTTTGAATAATTGATCCCAAATATAAAAAATGACTATTTTTTTGTACTACTTTACCATCCAAGTTAATCATACACTGACCCTTGTTTAGTTGTGATTACTAACTTATATTTACTTCCCTGTCATATTATTATTTGATAGTATTACTAAATTTTGAGAGTTAGTTTGGTTGAATTAGAGGATGAGATATTGATGAATTATGCAGTTACTGAAGAGGGTTGTGTAGGAAGCTTCGACATTGTAAACATTCTTGTTCAACTGGTAGTCTCATTACTGTTAGTATAGATTTCAAAATGATTCATTTTATGGAATCTGGTCTTAGTTCCACCCCTGTGAAATGCCATTTAAAGTAACTAATTGCAACCTTTATCAAAATGATTTAAGAGTGTATAAACTAGAAAGACACTTAAAAATGAAAATTTATTCTTTGTTAGATCTTACCCAGAATCAGAATTGAAGCATCTGGTAGTACATATTCTCACTTTAAAGTACTCTTAAAGTTTGTATCTTGGGAATTATATCTTTTCTGTGAATCTGCCCTTGCTTGCCTAAATATAATACCTGGAGGAAAAAAAAGGGAAAAAAAATTTCAGAAGCTCTATGTTGCTGACTGCTATGTAATTGCTACTGCTACAATCTGAGATCCTCAGACAATTATTAATGGTGGTAACATAGGACCTTGATTTTTCATTTCGAATATGGTATATGTAGTTCAAAAAAATAGGAAAATCTTTTTCATTCTGTCTGTGCTTGACTATCTGGAAGTGATTTCTATTATTGAGCAACTTCTGGGACCAACTTTTTTTGGTGATATCTGGAAAGTAGTTACCATTTTTCTCTACAAACTAGGCCAGCATTTTCTCTCATAAAACCTATGTTTGTGCATGTTTATAAGAACAAAACTTCCTTTCATCGTTCTCTTTTATTCTGTTCCTACAAGAACATGGTTCATATAGCACATTTATGTGTTTGACTTTTCTTACATAGCATACTTTGCATGTTCTTTATTGTCCCATAGCAGGATTGTATCGGACCTCATGGTGGATATTTAATTCTTTCAACAATCATTTCAGATGCTGGAACCTATATCTTCAATCACACTACTATTTTCGTATAATTCTTTTATTTTTTTTTTTTTTTATTTCTATGGAATTGACAGAAATGTTCTCCTTTTGTTTTCATTTGATAAGGGAATATCTTCCCATGGGCGGAAGTGTGAAGATGGTGGAAGAAACACTGAAGTTGGCCTACGGAGTGAATTCTGAGTTGATAAAAGACAAAAGGATAGCAGCAGTGCAAGCTCTGTCTGGAACTGGTGCATGCCGACTTTTTGCGGACTTTCAAAAGCGTTTTCGTCCTGATTCCCAAATCTATATACCAGTCCCAACTTGGGCCAAGTGAGTGTTCCTGCTGTATTTGTCTTTTATACACTAATTCCTCTTTCTTACCTCATTTTTCTAAGACCTGTACAAGTTCAGTTATAAGATTGAGCAGTTATTATTCTGCCTTCTCTCTCTCAACTTACATTGCTTATAATATGAGTTTCCAACAGCCACCACAACATTTGGAGAGATGCCCATGTCCCTCAAAAAACCTACCATTATTATCACCCAGAGTCCAGGGGTTTAGATTTTGCAGCAATGATGGATGACATTAAGGTAAGCAGGGATCATTCTTCGAAATATGAACATCTGAATTAATATTCGACTCTTTTTCTTCATTTTATGTAGTTGTTCAACTCCCCCTGATTTTATATGTGTATCATCATTGCTAAAGTTACCTCCCTCTTTCTGCACAGAATGCTCCAAATGGTTCATTCTTTCTACTTCATGCTTGTGCTCATAATCCCACTGGTGTGGATCCTTCAGAGGAGCAATGGAGAGAAATCTCACATGAGTTCAAGGTATATACTAAACAGCCCTTTTTCTTTCCCCGAAGTCACTTCTTGAGACAATTTGTACCCTCATGTTCACTTTTTCTGCTTTGGTTTTTTTCCAGTTGCCACTACTTGTTTGCTTTGTTTAAACGATATATTCATTTTTTAGGTGAAAGGTCATTTTGCCTTCTTTGACATGGCATATCAAGGTTTTGCTAGCGGTGACCCAGAGAGAGATGCAAAGTCCATCAGGATTTTTCTTGAGGATGGTCACTATTTTGGAATTGCACAATCATATGCAAAGAATATGGGACTCTATGGCCAGAGGGTAGGATGCCTAAGGTAATTTTGTGTCTTATCGTTATAAATGAATGTAGAACATTTTGCTTATCAAGGTCTGACTTCCTGATACCAATTGTCTGCATTAACCATTGCAGTGTGCTTTGCGAAGATGAAAAACAAGCGGTAGCTGTGAAAAGTCAACTGCAGCAGCTTGCAAGACCCATGTACAGCAACCCACCTGTTCATGGTGCTCTCATAGTTTCAACAATTCTTAGTGATCCAGACTTGAAGAAAGTATGGCTCAAAGAAGTTAAGGTAACATCGCATGGCTTCTTTTAAAAATTTTTGTATCTGGGCTATTTATGCAAAACAACAGCAGGAGCCCCCGGGGAAATGATGCCCTTGGTTGTTGCATGTGTTGGGATTAAGGATGATCATATAAAACCCATGGAAGCATGTACTTTAGATGAATGACAGCACGTGTATAGTTAAGAATGCCCTTTTGGGCTTCCTTAAGAGGGCCAGTTAGGCAGTCCTAACGAAATTGAACCCTTCTAAGCTTCCTTAGGACAGCCAGTTGAGTAACCCTTTTGGGTGGAGTGTCTGGCTGAATATCTGGTTCTCAAATGATTTGTTGACAGATTTTAGCGAATTTTTTATTTTATACTATCAGAGTGCAGTCCTAAAATGAACGTAGTTGTATGTAATAAACTACTCGTCTACTCAATTTTCTTCTAAGATCATCTGAAATTGATTAAACTTCAAACTCTGTCCAGGTCATGGCAGATCGCATAATTGGAATGAGAACTGCTTTACGAGGGAACCTTGAAAAGCTAGGCTCCCCATTATCGTGGCAGCACATCACTAATCAGGTGTGTTAAGTTTGCCAATTACTTCTCTGAGTACAAGCTGGCTTCTTTTATTTAAGCTAAATGATTAGCAATGCTAATTCTTGTAATTTCAAGCAGATAGGGATGTTCTGCTATAGTGGGTTGACACCGGAACAGGTGGATCGCTTGACAAATGAATTTCACATCTATATGACTCGCAATGGTAGAATCAGGTAATATATCCGAATGTAATTCCTATTGTCCTTCTGGGCTATTATGCACAAATCAAAACTGAATTTTTTTGCTGATGTTGCAAACAAATGCAGTATGGCTGGTGTTACAACGGGCAATGTTGAATATTTGGCTACTGCGATTCATGAAGTCACAAAATCCGCATCCACTTGTTAAACAAGAAAATCTCATATTCTTCCTTCAACTGATATGTGACAAAAAACGAACTCAACAGAATTTTGTCCTCTTTGGAAGGACAATTAAACGAGCATCATTCATGCCCTACTTAGTATTTACTGTTTCTGCATCATTCTCAATTGAACTATTATTAGAATAGAAAGAGGGAAACATTGATCCCACCTGATTGACAAAAAATGACTGGCGCTATCCAATATTGTTGGGAAGCCCTTTTAGTTTGTATAATTTCTAGCTAGTAATAAATCGGTGCAGAAGTATTTTTGAAAGCGTAGTTACAACATTGAATAATGCAGTTCGGAGATGTCATGCTTGCTAATCTTATGAGAAACAAAACAAAGTAATTGAATTCATTCATGGCAGCTAAAGTTGATGCCAAAGGAGACAAATCACGATGATTTAACCTGTACTGGTTTACTAATATTGTACGGTGGCGAATTCAAGATAAATTTTTTTTGGTTCACTTATAATATATATATAGATATATATAATTTATAAAAAGATCAAAATAATATACTGACCAAACCCCTCAATGTACATCACTTGTCCCCAAAGAGTCTCGATCTATTTGGATAATTTGTGAATGCATATATATATATATATATTGTTTTTGAAAAAGAGTACAATTATGATTATTATTTTTAATAAAGATATTTTGTGGATATTATATTATTAAGGTATATTTATAATGTATATTATAATAATTTTAGAATCTAATATATACTCTTTATTAAATTTTTTTTTTTTAAATCTAATATATTCTTAATTAATAAGATTTTGACTAGATTTGGTTAAAAATAAAATCTGTAAGACTAATATAAGAAAGATAGCATATTAAAACTAAAATAGAAAAAATTAGAAGTAATAAATTTAATAATCTTTTAAGTTTAACTAAAAATCTTCAGACTTTCATTTTTTCAATTACAAATCTTCAAGCTTTCATTCTCCTACACGAAATAGGTCATATGTGAAGTCTATTACATGCAAAGCTTATAATAAGGCCTAATACACTCATGACCCAATATATAAGGCTTAAATTCACACAATGAACCCAAATAGTATAAAATAGCCTAAATATGTTCAAACAGCTTCACAAGTGATCAAGTTAACCATCCTTAGCTCCTTCAATGCAATAATTCTATTTGAGTTGAAATTATAAAAGATTAAAAAGTGAATGTAGCTTTTTAGCTCTATAACAAGTTATAAGACCAATAATTTGTACAATTGAGTGTTGGTCTATGTTTTTATCATTATAAGCTAAATTAGCCTCCACTAAATCATCAGGATAGATCCCATAATTTTCCCTCAATTGAATGTGATTTGCCTTCAAATCAAAATCTTCACTATCTTCCAAATAAAGTGATAAGTCTTTCACATTGAAAATAACAAAAACATTATACTCACCAAGCAAATCAATCTTATAGGCATTGTCTTTCACTTTAGCAATCAGTTTGAAAGAACTATCAGCTCTTGGCATAAGTTTGGACATCCTCTTACTTTGAAACCACTATTTGCTTAAATGGATTAAAATAAGTCACCTTACTTGAATTGGACTTGTTTGCTCCCTTTGTTGACAGCTTTCTTATAAACAACTTTTTCCTTTTCAATTTTCTCCTTAACATTTTCATGCATTCTTTTCACTATCTTAGCTTTCTTCTTAGCATCTATACATATTTTCTCATCAATAGGCAATGGTGCTAAATCAAGTGATGTAATTGGATTGAAACCATAAACCACTTTAAACGGTGAATGCTTAGTAGCACTATGCGTACTCCTATTATAAGCAAACTCCACAAAAGCCAAGCATTCATCCCAATTCTTCAAATTTTTAAAAATAATTGCTTTAAATAAAGAAATGCAAGTGATTTTCTTATTGTTATTATTGTTTTAAAAAGCAAAATCAAAAGCAAAGAAATTAAAGTTAAATGCCAATTAAGACCATTAAATCAAAATTAAAGATAACACATAATTAATTTTGTTCGACTCTCAAAAAAATTACATCTCTAATGGAGTCGTCAAGTTGTCGTAACGCTTTTAGGGACCGTTATAAGAAAATTTTAAAAATCTCAAAATAGAAGTAGTCACTACCGATTTTTTTTGCTAGGTACGATTGATCACGTATTAAAACTTAACTTTTTTAAAAAATTTTAAAATTATTTAAAATTTATTAAAAAAATAATCTTTAGGTCTACAAAAATAGTTTTGGTTTAAGAATATGGTTACGCATAAAGAAGGTTTAACACCCCAATGATATTAATTAATTACATGTTATCTTTTAATATTGATGAAAATAATCTTACTTTTGATATTTAAACAATGATTCCTTTAAATTTTTTTTGTTACAAAAAAAATCATCTTTTTTTAATTGAAAAATAAATAAAAATATTATGTATTGAATGTAGATACCGAATTTTGTCTGAAATATTTTTAACATGATTAACCTGACATGCACCAAAGCCATTAATATAGGATCATTACGTAAACCATTTAAGAGGACCATTTACAACCCATAAAAGCCTACAACTTAGCCCGTTTAGAGACTCAAAATCAATTCAGGTCAAATCTAATCAAACTTAGTCAATAAAATTAAAATTAGTCAAACAAAGTCAAAATTATACAAAAATTTGATCAAAATGGATAAAACTCGGGTTAATTTTCAAAATTCACAACCTAATTGGAATCAATATAGTTTAAAATTGAATTTAGAGATTTTTTAAAACACTAAAAATTTTTATTGCACTTGGGGAAGTACAAAATTATTAAAATACCCTTTAAGGGGTATTTTTGTAATTTGATCTTCCTGAACTTAGATTTTCATGAAACTTTTTATATCAAAATTTTATAATATTTCATTATTTTTGATGCATTTAAAATCACAGTAATACCTCGGGAAGTGCAAAATAACTAAAATATCTTATAGTAGGTATTTTCGTAATTTGGTTTTTTCAAGTTTGAATTTTTGTGAAACATTTCAGATCTTAATTTCATAATATTTTATGAATTTTGATGCATTTAAAATCGCAATAGTATCCCGAAAAATGTGAATGGGTATTTTGGTAATTTAATCTTCTTGAGCTCGAATTTTCACGAAAATTATCAAATCTCAACTTTATAATATTTTATGATTTTTGGTGTTTTAAAATTTAAAAAATGAGCATAAGAACATTGATTTCTAAGAAAATGGCCTAAATACCGAAAACATTATATTTTAGAGGCTATAAAAATCCAATTTTTGTAGTAAATAATGTAGACCATTAGATCTCTCATTAAATCTGGATTCAATGACTAAAGTTTGCAAAAAAAAAGGCTTGAAATTAAAACAAAGAAGAAAATAGAGAAGAAAAAGAAGACGAGGCCCACTCAACCTCGTTACTGCCATATGACTTGTGTACAGAAGGGACAAGCAAGCAGGACAGAAGCTGATGGCTTTTGTGGTAGACAAGTTCTGAGGGAGTAATGGTCAGCCAAGGCAGCTGTAGGGAAGTGGGAAGGAGAAGGAACAGACAAATGGTGAAGCTTGAGAAGGAAGGTTGGTTTTCAATATAAAAAAGAAGGTAGAAACCAGTAAAGAGGGACTGGTTTTTCAAAAAAAAAAATCTAAAAAAAATGGCTAAAAAAAAGACTAAGAGGAGAGGGCTACCCAAAAAAGAAAGAGGAGAAAAGGCCAGAAAAAAATAGAAAAAGCTTGTAGAAAAAAAAAAGAAAAGAAAAAAAAATGAGGTGGGAGTCTCGCCAAGAAATAGAAAACTATGACTTTTGAAGAATTGAGAAGAGGTAGCTTTTTGAAACCCTTTCCTAGGACATTGCATGTGCACGTTTTTCCATTTGGGGTTTTATTATCAAAGCTTGCATTTTTGTCTTCTTTTCTATGTATGTTATGCACGGTTGAAAATCTCATTTCTTGTTGACCGCTGCTTATTATGGACCATATATTAAAGCTACAATTTTCTTTATGTTCTTGGAAAAGATTCATTTATACCTGTTGTTCATCTCCCTTACGTGTGCTCCATGTATGGAAGCTTAAAGCTTCAACCTTTGCATGGTTCTGTTGCTCCATTTTTTGTAAAGTCAGGTCATAGGTGTTTACTTTCATTAGTCCTTTCATGTTCTGACTTTGGCTTTAGTTTGTAGCATGGTATTTTTTAAGGAAAGGGAAGCTTTAGGTACTTACAGTTCTCTACATTAGTTAGGATTGAAAACAGCTATTACCTTTTTCAATGGTAGCCATAATTTCATACTGTTAGGGAGTTTATCTTGCATTGTCTTTTCCATTATAAGTAATGCTCTATTAGAGTTGGCATCGGGGTAGGGCGGGGTGGTTTTTTGCTTTCCCCGCCTTTGACCCGATGCTTCAATGTTTTATCCGATACCCGACCCTTCCCCGCTCGGAGGTTGTTATTGAAAAACTCGACCCCGACCCGCTAGAATATTATTTACCCGAATTTAACCCGATTCGACCCGAATTCAATCTATTACCTATTTAAATTTACCAAAAATGTAATAAATTATAATCTAAATATATTACAAGCATTAACAAATTTAACATAATCACTCACAAATTCAAACTTAGTACATACTATTTTTTTATCTAGTAAAAATCTCATAAATTCTCATCATAAATAATAGAATTATAAAATACATAAAAATATAGTAAATTCAAACTCACAAATTCTTACCATAGATGATGAAATTATGAAATATATAAAACTTAGTAAAATAAAATTCAAATATTAAACAAGCATAAGTTAATAACTAAATTTAAACATAATACATGATACAAGATAAACATCAAAAGCTTAAATCACCACAATAAAAAGCTAAATTGTTTGAACATCCTTTCATCCAACATGATAAAAATCTTTCAAAATCACAATAAATCATTCCATCATCACTACGCTCCATATCATCATTCTCCTCTAACCACACTAGTCCTATAAAATAAAACAATAATATGAATAAATAAATCTCATAAAATAATATATTTAAAAATAATAATATAAAAAATGAATTAATTAAAAAAGATAATATTATTTACCAAACTAGTTATCTTTTCCTCAATCTCACTCTCATCAACATCTTCGTAAAAATACTTTTCTTCTAATAAAATTGACCCTACAAATAAAAAAATAAACTATTAACAAATAATATATAACAACAAAATATAATAACTAACAATATGCTAAAATAAAAAATAAAATTGCATAATATACATTATTGTACCTTTTTCTTTAGCCCATAACCAATTTTGACAACATGTTAAAGCTTCTATAGTTAATGGATGAAGTCTATTACGTTGTGCACTCACCAATTTCCCTCCGGTACTAAAAGTAGACTCTGAAGCAACAATAGAAACTAGTATGACATAAATATCTCTAACAATAAGCTGTAA